GGCGTTGATTATGAGTTAGCTCATCTTGTTGGACAAACCCTTATTAACAGATCAGTTGGTTGGGGTACTCATATCAACTTTTTTGCTCGGCTCAAGGGAACTAATTCCTCTCCAGAATTCTTTTTTTAGTGGTATAAAATATGCACCAAATGAAGTTTTACACTTTTGTAAACTAACTCCAGCGCCCTATAATTTTGGTATGTTATTTAAATAGTTTCGTTCTTTTACCTATACGGTGGATCTTTCAAACCTTGTTCTAATATTTTGTGTAATTATTTACAGGCGAAACTCATCCTCCGGATGTTTTTATCTTCCACTGTCCGCATGTTGAGTGCTTGCAATGTGATGCGTTTCTCAACTATTTCTACCATGACGACAGTGAAGAAGATGTAATCGATATCTAAATGTGTAACTAATTAATGTTGTAGACTTATTATTATTACTAGGATTAGGAAGATATGATTATCACTTAATTTTGGAATAAAAACATATTATGTATTGAATCGTAATGATAGATCATGAAAAGTTGTTGTTAGACTATTTATCAGTGACAGCCCACTGAGATTTTTATAAGAAATGATGAATGACATAACAGTTTCGAGGGAATAGTGATAGAACATAGAAGTATTGCTATGTATGTGCAAAGGATATTTACTAAATTAGCTACTTCAACAAAATTATATATCAAAATAGCTTTTTATAATTCTAATTTCAAAATTAGTTATACTATTAACAAAATATTGACTTGAAAGGATTTTTTTTTTTTCTTTTTTTTTTCTTCAATGTCACCAATTCACCATGTGAACAAGTTTTATTTGATTAATTTTTTTTTTCTTGGTTTAATTTTTTTGTTTATGCTAAATTTTGATAGAATAGGTTTTTCTTATTATTTTACACTCTGAAAATGAGCCAAACGAGGAATTGTAATTGCGGTTGTCTTTAATTGCAAAATGTAATAACAATAGCCTTCCTTGAGGAAATAATTGGTATAGTGGTAACAATAGCCTTCATTGAGGAAATAATTGGTAAAGTGGTATCTCATGCAGCCAAAGGTTGATGCTTCATGCATATAAGGGCAGTTTATAACCTGTTTGGCTTATAAAAATTGATTAGAAGAAACAAAAGAGTGAATAAGTAGTACCTTTTCTCCCATGTTCATCAATGTGTCTTCAATAAATTTCTTTTAGCAGTTGAGCTTATAACAACCTCATCGACTTGTTTTCTAGTTTATCGGAAGCTATTAAGTTACTATGTGTATACACTACTAGAAAACAGGCGATTTCTGACGGAAAAATTTCGTCAGAAACACCTTGTTTTCCGTCGGAAATCGCCTTTCAATCAATTCTGTCATAAAAGTGTTCGTTGGAAAAACGACCTTTTCCAACGGAAACACTTTTCCGACGGAATTTCCGACAAAATTCATTCCTCGGTAGAAGTTTTTTCGGCCCGAAAAAGTCCATCGAAAACATCCGACGGAATTTCCGTCGAAACCCCAACAAAAAAAATAAAAAAAAAAGCCACCCCACCACCAGTACTGCCACCAACCGCAATAAAAAACCACTAGTTTCTCCCACCGCCTTAACCCACCACCACCTTAACCCACCCAACCTAACCCAGATCTGCCATGACATTCCTAACTATAAACCCACAACCACACGAACCCACCCACCTGAATTCTAAACCCACAACCACTCAAACCCACCCCACCTAAAACCGCACAAAAACCACAACCACCCATAAACCACAACCACCCGAAAGTAACAACACAAAAATCCAGAAAAAACAAACAAAATTAAGAATAGGAAAACATACCTTATAAAACGAAAATGGCCTTGATTTTCAACTCGAATTTGTTTAAAACGACCAAATTCGACCATTAAAACTCTAGATCTAGAGTTTTTTATGGTCGAATTTGACCATTAAACCCAGTGGCGATTCCAGAAATTTTTTGTTATGGGTTCAGAATTGTTAAACACATATTTCGTATGTAAACGAATGAATTCAAATAACATAATTTTACATACATTACAATTGATAATTTGGGTATGCACATTTGTAATATAAGTGCAAAATAATAAAAATTTATAATTAAACTTGACAAGTCTCCAAATTTTGGAACAATTATATATCTATAATCTCTACAAATCTGAACTAGAAAAAAGTTGAATCTTCAATGTAATCATATTTCATGGTTAAGGTATTTTGGATAATGGGTAATTTGAGTATTAAAGTATGGAAAAGCCAAAGAAACAAAATAAAAGCCTAAAAAAAAACCAAGAAAAAGAAAGAAATAAACCTAAAATAAAAGAAAAAAAGAAAAAGAAAAATCAGAACATAGTGCCAGGCGAACTCGAACCCGCGACCTTCAAGAAAAAGTAATGGACTTCAACCACTAGGCCGCATTAGAAGTTCAACATATTCTTTACCATCCAATAATGACTTGAAAGCTTTACCCTCACAAATAACCTCATCATTAACAAAGGAATTTTCAACGATAATAATAACAAATTACCCTTTCATATTAATAATTAATAATAACAAATTACCCTTTCATTTTAATTATGGATCCTGGCCCCAAGAACCCTAGAATAGAACTACTCACATGTAATTGAATCTAAACTAATCAAAGAATATATGAAAGACATGATTAAAATAAAAACACAAATTAACAAAGCAATTAAAATCATAGAAATAAATAAAGCGATAAAAGATGCGAGAAATAATATCGCATTAAAGAAAAATGAAATTGCACTAAAAGGGAAAACTTGAGTTCAACAATAATCTCCGACCAAGAATCTCTCTAAAAGTTTAAGCATGAAAGAATATAATGAAAAACGTAGGTAATAAAGCTTACAAAAATCTTCAAAGGGAACTCCCTTTTTTTATTCTGAATAAATATTTATGTAAATCTTTAAAGGGAACTCTCTTTTTTGGTTGGGAATTTTCCCTTTTCAAAAATGGCCTTTAAATACTTATTTCCAAGTATAATATATCTTAAAAAAATAATAATAACTACCTAGAATAAAAATAAAAATAAAAAGAAAAAAAAATGTTACTCCATAACTACCAAATTTTTTAAAAGTTGTCCATTTTTCTAGCTATCATCCTTCCTCATATGAAAAAAAAATCCTTCAAATTAAAAAAAAATATATATATCATTTTTCATCACTCAGTTTTTCCCTCCTACAACTTCTTCCCATGTCTAAAAAAGTAAAAACCACTCATAATATGTGTTAGTTCCAGTCCAACCTCCAATGCTCATGGCTTTCCTCCTAGCAATTCTATATTGATTAATTACTCAATTATAGTCATATCATCGGTTTTATATATTTGGTTAAAAATGCAATTTCATTATTCTTTGTCTAAAAGTTCTAAAACTATAATTATAAATTAATAAGGGTGTAAAGTTTCTCAAATTTTTGTTTTTTTTTGTTACTTTAATTTATATATTTATGTATAATTGTATATCTTAATCTCCATCTACTTTACTTATTTTTTTTTTCTAGAATTTAATTGTATGTAATCTCTCGACTTAGGTATGAAAGATTTTGTTAGATAGAGAGTCATGGAAGGATAAAGATTTTTGTACCCTCAACTTATCGATCTTCATTTTAATTTTTTACAAAATGGTTTTTTTTTATTTATTTATTATTATTTATTTTGTATATATACTTCCTATAACAATTACTAAAATAAGTGATGAGAAATTTAAACTACATAGTACAATTATATTCTATAACAAATCACAAAGTTCTTGATCCTATCCATATCTGATCCAGTACCACTGTATGATATAACTATTTTTATTTTTGTTGTATGGGTGTATATTATAAATTTTGTTGTTAATCACTTTCTCAAGTCCCTGTGTTATAGTCACACATGAATATATAAGGTATGTCAATCTTTTAAACAAGAACCAATGTGTGCCCTTTTCTTTCTATGTTTCTTCTATGCTTATAGAACTTTGACTTATCCAACATCCTTATGATTTAAACCTTTTATCGAAAAGTAAATGTTAAATTCAACTCAAAATTCCATACTGTCATTGCATTTTCTACTTTAGTAATATAGAGTGATAAAGCTAAAGTTACTAAATAGTTATGTATTGATTATTTGATTGGCTTAAAAGATAAGAAATTACATATTTTTAAGCCGTAATACTCATTCTTACTTATGATATTATTGACGAGTTTGGTACATTTGATTGTGGGTAGTGTTTTCAATCATTTTTTTATGGGGTTTACTTAATCAATTATTGTTTTGCTACATTTGGTGTGTTCAATCAAATGGTGTTTTTGCTACATTTGGTGTTAGTAATGTGGGTAGTTTCTTTTCTTGATTTGATTATGAGTACATATTTTCAATAATATATACTTTTTTTCCTCCATTAAAAAAAATTGTATGTTTTTTAATTCCCTTCTTATTGGTATGATACACAACTTCAATTTTTTCTTACGGAGTATTATTTTAGGTATTATATAAAAGTGGTAATTGTGTGCCTTTTAGCTTGTATGTATAAAATAGACTTCGCAAATCCCTGTTACCCTTCCAAATAATAGAAAAATTTATGGTTAGCCAATCTTTCCAACATTTAATCAACAAAAGGGAATGGGAATGTTATCCTTTTTAGTGGCGGTATTTAATCTACGATAATCAATACAAATCTGTAATCCTATTACGGTTCTAGTGGGAATTATTTCATTTTTATCATTGTTTATTACTGTCATCCCACCCTTCTTTGGAACTACTTGCACAGGCATTACCCACTTTGAATAAGAGATAGGATAGATAACACCTGCATCAAGTAGTTTCATAACTTCCTTTTTGACGACCTCCTTCATGTTAGGATTTTACCTTCTCTATGGTTGAATACATGGCTTGTTATCATCTTCTAAGTGTATCCAATGCATGTAAAAGTCAAGGCTAATACCCTTTAGATCATCAATATTGTACCCAGTTGCCCTTTTGTGGGTTTAAAGAACCTCTAGAAGTTGGGAAGTTTATGGGTCATCGAGTGCTGTACTAATGATCACAGGGTGCAGTTCTTGCTCATCAAGAAATACATATTTTAAGTGTGAAGGGAGAGGTTTAAGTTCAGGTTTCTTTACCTCCGCAGAGTACGATTCCTGAATTAAAATTTCTACCTTATCATTCTCATCAGGGCTAAGTTGCTCATTTGATAGAGCGCGCTCAATTTCATCCACGTCTTTACTCCATATGTTAGTGTCACCTGCAGTAAGATCACAACACAGTACTTCCTCCAAGGGATCTCAGGAGAGAACCTAGGGTAAGCTATCATGGCATATAAAATCAATCAATGACATCAATACTGTAGTATTTCTCCTCTAGCATAGGTCCTTTCATAACTCTCCCTAAATTGAAGGTAATATTATCATCCCTAGCAGAAAGAGTAAGTTTTCCATTTTTTACATCAATTATGGCCCCTGTAGTATGAATAAAAGGTCTTCCTAAAATAATAGGAATTTGTGTATCCTCATCCATGTCTAAAACAACAAAATCAACAGGGAAAAAAAATTTACCAACCCTAACAGGAACATCCTCTCTAGAATACCTAAGGGGTATTTAACAGAACGATCTGCCATTTGCAGGGTAATATTAGTAACCTTTAAATCACTCATATTATGCTTTGAACACATATATGATGGCATACACTTACACTAGTACCTAAATCACATAATGCTTTATCAATAATGATATTCCCAATATGACAAGATATAGAAAAAGAACCAAGATCCTTTAATTTTGGTGGAGATTTATTTTGTCGCAATGCACTACATTCTTCAGTAAAAGCTACAGTCTCTACCTCATTAAAGACTCTCTTCCTAGTCAAAATATCCTTTATGAATTTAGAATATGCAAGAACTTGAGTGATTAAATCAGTGGAAGGAACTGTAACCTGCAAATTCTTGACAACCTCCAAGAACTTACCAAATTTCTTGTCCAACTTATTCTTTATATGTCTATTAGGGAATGGAAGTTGGATCATAGGGCTTTGTACATCTCCACTCCTGTCTTGATTTTTACCCTACATGGAATTATCAGAAGTGTTAGTTTTACCGTGTAGCTTGCAAGGCTAGTAACAATAGTCTTTAGTTTAACAGAATCAACATTAGCAGTTTTATTTGTAACAGGTTCATCATCCTTGGTCATAGGAGGCCCATCATAGTGTGAACCACTCTTTAGAATAATTGCATTTGCATGATCTGTAGGTTGTATTGGCTTTAATGGTAGGGCTCCTTGCTGGCGAATTCGTAGAGTAGAGGAAAGTTGTGCAATTTGATTATCCATGATTTTATTATTAACTAAGATTGAATCAATTTTTGCATCCCTACTCTACATATGCTTTTACATACTAGCTAACATTGTTCTAAATTTTAACAAGGCCGGCATGCAGGGTCAGTAAATGGAGGTGGAGTTTGTGGATGGGTCCTTTGGTTAGGAGATTGGTAGTATTTTTGCTGTGTTTGTTGTGGTTCTTGTTCTTGTTGAGTTGCAGAGTTTTGCACATTGGTACTCCGGTAGGTATGGATGATTCTGGAGGCCAGATTATAAGTGTTGGAGTATTGGTTATTTTGTCTGTAAGCTTAGAAAGCATTAACTTGCTCCACAGAACTTCTACAATAAAATATTGTTCCTAATGACCTACAATTTTCACAAAAAGCTTCATTAGTGTTATTACTAACAGTAGAAACATTAGCTATAGTAGTAGGAATATCAGTATTAATATTATCTAATTTCTGATAAATAAATGTTAATTGAGTTTGCACAAAGGATACATAATCAACACTATGTTTCCCTTTGTTCACAAAGTTTCTAAGATTCATATATTGAGAATTGTGAATTTCCATCTCTTTGATAACAGTTCTTGTTACATCTACATTAAAATTTATAAATCTCCCATTAGCTACTGAATCTAGGATTGATCTAGATGAATTTCCTATCCCGTTGTAAAAGGCTTGGATTATCTAATCCATGATGGGGACATCCTCTCTGCAGATCTTTAAATTTTTCCCAAGCTTCATAAAGACTTTCATCTGGCTCTTGGGCAAAGTTTTGGATTGAACTCCTTAACGAAGTTGTCCTTTATACAGGGTAATACTGATTATAGAAATTCATAGCAAGAGTATCCTTGTCAGTAATACCAAGTGCAGTTCTATTCAATCCATTATACCATAATATAACTTTACCACATAAAGAAAAGGGAAACAGAATCTCCCTGATTTGGTCCTGCATGACCTAATTTTGCCTAATAGTGTTGCAATATTGGCATATATCCAAAATATGAATATTTGGATCTTCTCCCTTAGGTCCTCTAAATTGCTTCCTTTCGATTATAGTAATAAACTGGGGTTTAATATTGAATTGTACTCTCTTGAGATTAGGTGTAGGATCAAGATATGGAAAATCTGTCAAGGATGGCTGAGAATAATCGCTGAGCTTGCGAGGTGGTGGTGGTGATGGTGGTGAATTTTCCATATATGATTCTAGTTCTGAAGAAACTTATGTGTCACTAAAATCAGATATGGGTTCCAAAGGCGTATTACCCTCGGAAGTAACTCGTACTTGTTTGAAAAGATTCTTATGTCTATGAAAAGACTATTCGATTTCAGGATCTAATGGAATGTAGCCTGATCTAAAACTCATGGGCATAAACACAGAACTAAACAAACAGATATGAGAAATTGTCCCAAAGAATTTGTGTTCTCTAAGACGAAAGAAAATAATCTTGACTATTAAAAACAATTAGAAATAAAAATAAAATTGTTTCCCCTGCAACGACGCCAAATTTTGAGAGGCTAAACTCCTATCACCTAATCAAAAGAATTACCTAAGTCCTTTAACTAAAGTAAATAGGGACATAAGGTTGAATCCATAGGGAAACATGTCTTTCAATTCCTAATAATTAATATAATCTAAACTATTGAGTAGCCAAATTATTTTTAAGGGATTTAAACCAAGGAGAATAATTAAAGTAAGGCAAATTAAATTAGGGATAAATCAATAATAAAAAGCCTAGGATCATAGGTTTACCAATAATTAATACTCCGAGATAAAATATAACAATCAATGATTAATATTGCAAACATAAAATAATTAACAGACTCTCGTAATTTATCAGTCAACATAGATCTAACAGGCTCTCGCAATTTACTAGATCTAAGTTCCTATTGAAAATACCCTTTCATATCAAATTAACATATGCTTGATTCATGAATTCAATGTTGCTATACTTTTACAACCAAATCACATCTGCTCGATTCATAATCTAATTGTAAAGAATTAAAACAATTAAATAAGAAATTATTATATAATATCAATAATCAACAATAACAAATTGCCCCTTCAAATTAATTATGGATCCCCTAGAACCCTAGAATAGAACTACTTACACATAATTGAACCTAAACTAATCAAAGCATATATGAAAGACATGATTCAAAGCAAAACACAAATTAACAAAGAAATTAAAAGAAAAGCAATAAATAAAGCGATAAAAGAAGTGAGAAATAATATTGAATGAAGGAAATATGAAATTGCACTAAAAGGGAAAACTTGAGTTCAACAATAATGTTCAACTAAAAATCATTCTAAAAGTTTAAGCATGAAAGAAATAATAATAATAATAATAATAATAATAATAATAATAATAATAAAGAAAAAACGTAACTAATAAAGCTTACAAAAAGAGCTTAAAAACTAAGCCTAAATTAGCCAAAACGACGAATCCTAAGACTCCCGAGAAAAACACGCGCCTGATCGGCAAACAGCCGCCCGATTGGGCCCGCCTTTTTTCTTCTCTTTGCATTCTAGGCATCCGCCTGATTGGGCCCGGTCTTTCCTTGGCTGAAACTCTTTTTTTTTTTCCTTTGGGCTATAATTGCTTCTATGGACTAAATCTTCTTCTTCCTTGGTCCATTGCTCGGACCAATTCCACGAACCAAGCCCTTAATCACCGATATGATCGGTCTTGGGCTATGATCAACGGTCATGAATGTGACAAAAGCTTCGATATCTCGTAGTGGCCGTAAAACCATAGAAATTACTGATAAATTCCTATAAAAAGATTTCAACTCTTCAAAATATCCGAAACCACACATTAGTATTAATAGTTTCCCTAAAGAGCTCAAATATGCATAAAAATGACCACGAGATGGGGATAAAATAGCATATAAAATACATATATCACTCACTCATGTAAACCATCTCATCCTCACTTAACTTAAACACCTCACATTATTTCTCTTCCTTAACCTCATTTTCTCACCCTCTAATTGCATACTTATTGGTGAACTATCATCAATGGTAGTCCCACACCTAGTCATAATTGCATTACAATTCCTCTAGGATCAATGGCTTGACTAGGTAAAGAGGTGCTATGATTTTTGTTACGTTTTAGTGCACTAACTAGTTGAGTTAATTGAGTTTCTAGCATCTTATTGTGGGCTTGCACTTGCTTGATACTCTCCTCTAAGTCATTGGTTTTCTTTGTTTGCATATTAACAAAATTTTCCATCACTACCACAAAAAGTGGAAAAAATAACACATGATACATAACTGTTAAGTTGTATAGGCGTTCTCTAGAAGTAAATAAAACGCCTTTGATAGAGACCATCTTTATAAGTTGAATCAAATAAAACGCCCCTAAGTAAGAATAGTTTAATTTTGTTTACCGTAATTAAAATATAAATAAAATAGAATATGGATTTACATTACAGAATGGTGTTCTATGTTAACAGTTCCACTTGATTTGTCAGTTTATACTTTATACTCCTATTTTATTTAAACCACCCCACTAGTAAAAACCTAATTCTCTTAACTTCCTAGTGTCCCTTAATTAGCTTCTACCGCCTCTTTCTCCATTTTCTCTACAACTCCTCTTCTTCCATGGATCTTTGCTTGTCTTCATTCTTAGATCCTCTATGCTTTCTTCCTTCTCCAATAAAATGCAGAGGTTTTTCTTTCTCTATTTACTTCCTCTCTTCACCTTCTAATTAATTCCTTTTCCCCCCTTTTCATTCGAGTTTCAATTCGAAACCATTTCCGAACCCAAATCAAAACCCTCGAATTTCTTTCTCTATTGCAAATGGTTCCCATGAATCTCATCGCAATCAGATTTTTTCTCATCTGATAATGATTTGTCGGATAAACCTAAGTGCCGCTAACACCAACATCAACTCCATCATCGCCACCACCACCACCGTAGAACTCCATCACCTTCGTTGCATAGCCACCACCGCAGGATGTTTAGATTGTATCGTCTTACTTAGCAAGAACATTTTAAATTCGAATTTCGAAAGATACGGAGGTAATCAACACTTTTTTTGAGCAATATTAACTGAATTTTGGATATGAGATTTTATTAGTTTTTGTTTTTATAATTTAAAGGGTAATAATTATTTCATCGTTTTTTATTATATTCTCCTATTAGATCAATAGGATTCTTAGGATAATGGGAATTCAATATTTGTTTTATGGATGAATTATGTATGAAATGGAAATGAAATTTTTATAATTATACTATTGTTCTTTTATAAAAAAAAAAATCAATCAATTTTTTTCTTTCAAATTTACCGAATTTGTGTGCATGTTTAGTTAAACCTCTTTGAAATCTAATACACTTTTGTTTTTACAGAGACTTAAATAATGTGGATTTGAAGCAAAGGAGCTTGATACAACATCAATTGATTCCGTCATATCAACTGGCCGGGATAATTTTTGAAATTGGAGATTGTTTTTAGCATTATATTCTAAATTGAAGCTATGAATTTCATTATAATACATAGATTTTGTACTTGATTTCATTTTTTTTTGTTATGTATATATTATTATTGAATTCAATTGATATATTGATTTATTAGTCAATTTGTAAATTCTCGATCAAAATTAATAAAGAGTTAGTTTTCTTGCTTAAGATCTATCAACTTTCGGTATTCCAGAATACCAGAATTTCTGGAATTTGCAATTAATGATTCTATATAATTTCAATAAAAATCATTTTAATTTTTTTTTGAAAAAAGGGAATGAAAAGAGAACTAGTATTTGAGATAGGCGTTCTTTTTTTATGGGCATATGGAACGCTTATCATAAGGTAAGCATTCCCTTTTGCTTTTTTTCTAACTTTTTGGTACATAGCATTGGAAACGCTTATCTAAGGAAAGCGTTCTATATTTTATCGGATATTAAAACACCTCCAAAAGGCGTCTTGAAAACTTTATAAGGCACCCTAGTTGAAGAACGCCACTAAAGTGTCCTATATTGTCTATTTAAGGCGTTCTATATATATTGGCTATTTTGTAGTAGTGCATTATGGTTTCTAGAATCGACTTAGGAGGGGGAGCTTGAATTTGGAGAGGGGGTTGAGGAATAGTAGCAAGGGTAGATCTATTTCCTCCATTAAAATCAGTTGGGTTATGTATATTTGACAACATAGTTACCATTACCTTGGTTCCTATAATTTCCTTGATTATTTTTTTAAACATTCCTTTGGCCACTATAATGACCTTGATCATTTCCATGGGTTTGGCCCCCTTTCCAACCAAAGTTTGGATGATGTTTCCATCCCTCATTATATTTGTTGGAATAAGTGTCATACCTAGGATTAGTTTGAACATTTTTGATTGCATTTACTTGTTCCATGGAAGGGGAGGGAAAGCAAAAAATCATTTGGCAAATAACACTCAAAAGTCACATGATCTTCACTTCCACAAGTATCACAAGATATCATTTGTATTGACATATTTTCATTAGATGAACTAGATGCATGCAAATTCTTATGTGGAGAAGGGGATATGGAAGAGGATTGCAATAGATCAAATTTAGAAGACAAAGCATCTAATTTTGAAGTAATCATATTAATAGCATTTACCTCATACTTTCCTCCTTTCTTGGAAATGCTTCTCTCACCGGGGCTCCAATCAGTGTAGTTTAGAACTACATCCTCTATGATCATTAGTGCCTCCATGGTTGGCTTATTCATGATTGGTCCTCCCGATGCTCCATCCAACAACATGCGGTCCGCTCTCAAAAACCTCTATAACCCATGGAGCAAGAGTTAATCTCCCATGACATGGCGTGGGCATTGTTGTAGGTAGATCTTGAATCCTTCCCAAGCATCATAGATAAACTTATTGGCGTCCTGTTGGAAGTTTGATATTTTTTACCTTAACTCTGTTGTTTTCCCAAGAGAAATGAACCTCCCAAGGAATTCCAAAGTCACCTTATTCCATGTGTTTAATGAGTTTGGAGGCAACCTATCAAGCCAATCACTTGTCTTGTCCGTTAAAGAGAATATGAACATGCTCAACAGAATGTATTCTGGAGTCACCCCTTTTGCCTTCACAGTGCTACAATACCGTGTGAATTGCTTAAGATGCGCAATGGGATCCTCATGCTTTTCCCTAAAGAATTGATGACCCTCTATCAAGGTGATGAGGGCGGGCCTTATCTCAAAATTGTTTGCTTTGATTACAAGAGTAACAATCCCACTTGCTTCTTGATATGGTGGAGGAACACAAAACTCTTTTAAGGATTTTTTGGGAAGAGCCATATATTTGAAATTGATGAGGAGGTGAAGAAGTTAGAGAATTAGTTCTTGGTGACTCTAACGAAATGGTGTCTCCACTAGACTCGCTTGAACTAGAATGATCGGAATCAAGCACCACTTGTGGTTCACTTGAAGTAGCACCACTATCTCTCACCTTATTTTCTCTTCGATTCACCCTTACAACTCTTTCAAGCTCAAGATTATTCAATGGCACAAGAGGTAGTGCTCTATTGCTACGTTTGGGTATAAAACAAAGAAGACTAGATGGGAGATTAGTAGGTTAGTCAAATAAAATAAAGAAAAATAAAGCTTTACAAGTGAACTAGTCTCACATATTTCATAATTAAGTGAGTCAATGCTCAATGCCATTTAGGCAACGACGCCATTTTGGTAGAGGGATAAATCGGTCGTTGGACAACAACCTAAGACAAACAATATATCTACCTAAACAAACCTAAGACAAGTCTAGGGTAAGTAGAGAATCGTATCCAAATAGAATGGGTATGAGTACAACAAAATTAAGAAACTTTTGTAATCTAATTCGTTTACAAATTAGGGGTTTTGATTAATTAATTATTACTATGGAGACAAACACTAGGGGGAAATGGGAATCGACACCAACTAAACCAATGGATCAATACGATAGGCAAGCATGAACACAAATTCGGTGATGGAAAAGGCACTCAACATTGCCTTCTTTCGAAGCCACAACACTAAATATTTCTAAACCAAGTTCAACTAACATGATAGGCCAACCAAGTCTCAATGATAAGAAAGTAGAGTACTAATTTAGGCTTATCTTTCGATCGGTCCAAGATAGCATTAAGGCACAAGTAATTGGGATTTCACCCCTAATTATCGCAACTAAGACTACTACACCATCAAAACAAGAAACCATACTTGACTACTTCATATGCCTTCTGCACACTAGACAAAAAGTTTTATCGTATATAAAGCTCTTTGTTTTTACCTCATTAACTACGAGGAGACCCCTTCTTCCTAACTTTATCTTTGTGTCCTACCTGCGAGCGAGTTGACTTCTAGGAGTTATAGTCCCTAAATCAAGATAGAAATTCGGTTTAATCATACAAGAAAAAGCTCATAGCCAAACTTCATCTTTCAATGCAAGCATATAAGTGAATATATAAGAAATAAGTGGCCATCCAATTATACATGCAATTAACCAATTCTTTAACAATCAATCATCAACCCAAAATGAACATGAAAGCACAAACATCAATCAAACCATGGCTTTCTTGGGTCTTCACCCAACCCCTAGATAATAAACACTACTCAGTAAATATGGTGAAGAACAACATAACTACAAGTTCTAATTCTAGCATTATTCTAACAAGTTGAGAGGAATAATAAAATCTAAGTTGATTGAACATGAAACAACAAATAATTAAGATTAGAGAAGAAAATAACAATTCAAATCAATTAAAAGTAGAAAATAAAGAATGAGAGGTAGAGGAAAGAGATAACTAATAAAGCATCAAAGTTGAGAAGTACTTCAAATTAAGAGAATAATCTTAAATTAAAGTAGTAAAATTGATTGAGTTTGAGAAGATCTAAGCACACTAATAAGAGTTATAAGAAACAAAGGGTCTAAGAAGTCTAAAAGGGAAGAAGATCCATAAAAATGAAGCTAAGGGTCATATTTATACGCCTAAAAAGTCGGATAAACAGAGCAGGAGCGCCCTTTCAAGAAGACTTGCGCTACCGCTCCTGAGCTGCATAAGTTTGGAGCAGAATAGGGAAGATTAAATGCTACAAAAAATGGCTAATTAACCATTCATAAGACACCATTCATATCAGTTAAAAGGTTTCATAAATAAAGAAACCATTAATTTAAGAAGTATGGTTTCTTAGGATAAAATAAGAAACCACTTATTATATAGGCATGGTGTCTTTGATAAAATAAGATAAATTTAATCTAGAAAAGGGGTCAAAAATACTATATCAAGTGTGCATTGGTTTCTTAGCAAATTATTATACGGTAAATACCTATTTCAAAAAAACATATATAATAAGTATCCACTATCACATTCTCCACAACATAAATTTTTGTTTTTATAAATAATAAACCCTTTTGACTCTTCTTCAGTTCATTAGGGGTGTCCATTATTTGGATAAAAACCGAAATCCAATCCAAAACAAATTATCAATTCGGATCGGATCCAAACTTTAAATCAGATCGGATTGAATGTTTTTATAAAATTTGGATTTTCGGACCGGATCGGATTGACCTTGTTCGAGTTCAAAAAAAACCAAAATAACCGAATTTTGAAAGCGTTATTTTACAAAAAGATATTGTTAATATGAATCACGTTAAACTATGTTTATGATTATAATAATATTAATCATGTAAACCTATGTTTTCAATACTTGTATAAATCATGTACTACTATACTTTCAAAAATTGAAATTTTATTATTGCAATTTTATTTTTATAACCACATTAGATCCAAAAAACTTAGCAACGAATTTTAAATCAGATTTTCGGATTGGATCTAAATAACCGAATTATAATTTGGATTAGATCGAATTGGATTAGGTAAGTAATTCGGATCGAGTTGGATTTGAAAATTACATACAAAAATTTATTTCAGATTGGATTGAATTTGGGATAAATCCAAACCTAAAACCGAATGGACACCCTTACAATTCATCACTCATCCAGAAATATTCATCCTTTTCTCAGTTCATCTTCTCTCAAGAAGAACCCTAACTCTCCAAATCAATGGCAATTGTGATTTTTCACACCTTTAATTTTCGAGGAATTGGTTCTTTGTAAGCCGATCTATCAAAACCCTAAATTTGTTTGATAAAATTTATGGTTTCTCTCTCCTTGAATTTGTGTAGATCTAGTTCAAATAATAAATTGGGACTTATATGGGTATATTTAGTGTTTCGAGGTTTTTTCTGTCCCTTAGGAGAGTTACATCTCAAGACTGGAATCAGCAAGGACGCCTGTACCTGAAAAACAAACGGAGCACCGAATGGTCGGTGGTCTGCCTCCAAAGATAAAGTAAGTATGGATTCGGAATAAAATGTGCGGAAATTAAGTTATTTGCTTGGATTCCAAGCTCAGGTGTTGTCTGTTTCTTGAGAATGACAGCTCAGTAATGATTGGAACGTGCCCTAATAAATGGGGGGAATGTCCCTGTTTATAAGGACCTTGGGAAGTGTGCCCTACCCTAGATTTTGATGACTAAGGGATTAGGGCGGCGCCATTTTGCAGCGCCCTTAAAGTTTGGGCCTTGAAGGCCGCTATTTCAAAGGAGGGATATCTGAGTGACACGTGTCACGCATCTGGAGGGTCCATTTGGACGCCTCCCAGGGCGACACGTGTCGTTATCTCATTGGTCCACTTGTGGGTAATAAATACCCCAAATCATTTGCCCCTCACAGTGTCACGTGGCATGCCATGTGGTGCTTGTCACAGGTGTCGGCCTCTTTTTGGCCAAGAAATTACATTTACTGTTCACCTGAATTTAGGGTTTTTACCCCAGATCTTTTACCCCCTCTATAAATAGAAGGGTTGACCTTCCTTGGATTCACACTTGCGTGAATCTTTAGGAGAATATTTGAATTTCTAACATTCGAAGACTTTTGACTTCTTCAGCATCCGACACTCAGCCAGCTCGTCCTTCTGTTCCAACATACGTCCCTGACCAGCGCCTCTTAGTACCTTCTTCTAAGGTAACCGCCTGATCTTTTCTTTACTTATTTCTTTTTCAAAAATGGATTCCCAAACGCACCTGGCACAACCTAGATTAGCAATCAGTTGGTCACCGGGGACGGTTAAATCTAGAACTAGGAGTGCCGAATGCTCGTTCGAGAACTACCCTTTGAGTACATCTCCAAGTCCGACATTGTCTATGCCCCTGCAGGACACGATGGCTAGAACAAAGCTGACGACCCGGAGATATAGGACGAATGGTTCTTATTACCATTCGGAAAGTGAGTCAGTCTTCTCAGATGGCTCCATTAGGGCGTATGTCTCCGAGATTAGTAAAGACCCTCCTAGCAACATCAGCACTCCAAGCGATTCATTTTTAGAGGAGTATGATGAGGAATATGGAACATCTAGGCCGAGTGAATCAGTACTAGATGTTGAGATGGGGAAGGCCACTGCTGGCACCAGCCGGCAGGCCCCTAGCTCTGGGAAAATTCTAATGATGACTCTGTGTCATCATCCTCCGACAGTGCCTCCGTTGACTCGGAGGAGGCGCAGTCAAATCTTAAGGCTGCCCGAGAGTTCATCTCCGTTGAGAAGGGAGATGATTGGGATGAACCGTCTGCTTTACGACAACATGAATGTGCTCCTTATTACTTGCACGTCGCCGAAGGCAGACGGAAAACGATGACAGAAGACTTCGGAAAATTTATTTCCGCCTATGTCATGGGACATGGCTTCTTGTTGTTCGTGCCGGATGCTGAGGACACGGTCACCTGCCCTGAGGTGGCCAGCTATGGTGACAGTGCTTCGGATGCTATGAAGAATCCATCCAGGCAGGGCTGCGCTTCCCTCTCCATGCGTCTGTGGAGAGGATTTTGGACAGATACCAACTGGGTGTCTAGAAAATAGCCCCCAATTCTTGGGTTAACATTTTGGGATACGTTGCTGCCTGTGAGATGCTGGAGGTGGAGCCTAGATTCGAGGCGTTTGCTCATATGCATTATTAGAGCAGGACTCCGAATGCAACGGGTCAGCTGGTTTACTCTGACCAGACACAAGCGTTATATGATGACTCTGGGGAAGAAGAAAAAATGGAAGGATTGGAGGTCCAAGTTTTACATAATCTCTTCCCCAAATTTCAAAAAGAACAGGCGGTACAACCGCTGGACCAAGGAACCGCCCCTCCTGGCTGGGAAGAAAGCCCTTCCGCCTATGGCCGTCTGAACAAACGAATAGACGGGGGTCAAGGAGGTAACCCCCTAAATTTACATTCCCCGATTCGTGCTCACGGACGGGACGTATTTGGCCGCCTGTGGCC